AGATCCCCAAATGTAGTCGATCCTACTAGAGCTTAATTTGTTCTTCCAAGTATGTGAAGTCTCAGTTGGTTCCCATAATTATTGTAAGTCTGAAAGATTCCAGTTGGCCATGTAGTCAAATAGTTCGATTTCTGGATCATCTGATCTGGAAAATTCTGTTGTATTATTTAATGACTTATGGTCTGTTCTGGGATTTACTGTGGCATTGAAATCATCCATGATAATGATTTCATAATTTCTTCGTGAGTATGTTTGCAACAGATTTTGTATTTTCTTCTGCAGTGCACGGCTTTGTCTTTTGTCACTGGATAGGTATATTTGCGCAATCTATGTTTTATATCCTTTGTTTAGGAGGTTGATTGCTATTAGGTAACCTTCAATCTTATCTATGGATGCTATGTATTTTTCAATGTTTTTACAAATTAATAATGAAACTCCTGCACTCCTGGAGTTGTTTGGTTCTGCGCTTGAGAAGCACTTGTATTGTCTTTGGTTTGCAAAAGCGAAGTGTTGGTGTTCTTTCGCAAGTTTGGTTTCATATAAGCCCATTATATCAATTTTCCTTTCCAGCAATTCCATTATTAGATTGGCTTGGTCCATCTCTTGATTGATTCCTCTGATATTGTGTGTACCTATTGTTATATATGGTGTTTGATTGTTGTGATTATTTGAATTTGTTGATGTAAGGTTTCTTTCCTGGCTTTTATTTAGAAATAGTGTTTTTTGATTATATAAGAACTCGTCTATATATATAGTATCATCTGTATTACTCAATATTGCTGAAGAAGTTGATTGTGTTGATGATACTTGTTGTATGTTGAAAGGATCTTGTTCTTCAGCAATGATTGTGATTTCAACTGGTATGTCCATTTTTAGAATCTATAGTAGGATTTCTTCCTACTATTATGACCTTTTTCTAACTTGTATAGGCGCTCATTGATTCTTTCCAGTACTTCTTGGATCTGTTGCCAGGAGGAGTTTTCTTCTTTTGATTTGCTACTGTCATGCTTTCTGTTTGTATGTTTCTTGTGGAATGTCCTATTTTTGCTGGATTGTTTCATTTCTATATCCGAGAGTTCTTCCTCTTCCGAAATAATACTCATATTATCCTCTTCCTCTGTGTCTAGCCTCCTGGAATTTGTGTGTTTTGTATGTTTGCTTTCTCGAGCCTTGTTGTTTACTTTGGTAGTGATCTTTGTGTTGTCTTTTGTACTCCACCAAGTTTTGCTACTGAAAAGTTCTACGTGGGATCTTAATGCTTTGTTCAGATCTTCAGTATTGGAAAATCCTAGAATGGCGAAGCTTCTTTTCCTTCCTGTTTTGTTATTTGTTGGTATGTATACGGTTTTGACGTTGAGGTGTTTGGTTGCACTCATTATTTTGGTAGCTGAGGTTTGCTTGCTTATACCATATAGCCTGGTCGTGATGTCATTTCGTCATGCCAGGGTCTCGATATAGTTTTGGTATGGTACGATTCTTGCCATTGTTGTTCCCATTGGTATTGTCCATATTTCTTTTAGGTTTATCCGTATGTTGAGAATGTAACTCTTGCTGACTTGAAGTTGTTGTTGCCATTCTCCATCTGTATATAGGAGATTATTCCATATTGGTTATGGCACCTTTGAGTCTCTTGATTGAGAAGTCAGAAGGTATGTCTATAATGATGACTTTTTCCATATCCCTTGTGGTGTCTGGAGGGTTTTCGTCTTCAGAGGAGATCATGTTGCTTGATTTTTCTTCGTGCAGAGTTTGGATTGTTATTTGAAGTTGATGGGTTAGGAGTTTTTTCTTGCATTCCAACATGTTGTTAGATTTTTGAAAGTGTAGGACTGTCCATTTGCTTTTTCCTATAGCCCTGACTTGAATTTCTTTGTGGAATATGGGAATTTTGAGAAATTTGGTAAGATTCTGTAGTTGTTCTACTCTATTTTTGCCAAGAATGGTACTGCATTTGATTCTTAGTTGATATGGACTGTTATGTTCTGACAGATTGAATCTGTTATATTCAGGAGTACTTTTTTGGGTGTATTTTTCGTGTCTTGTTTCTACAGATGGTGCACTGTTGGGTTGTTTCAGGATAATAAACTTGAAGCCCTCTTTTCCTTTGCCAAGCTTAGTTAGGCATCTTTCCATGTCTTCTTCCAGTTGGAATTGGATAACATACCATCTATTTTCATTTATAAAAGGTGTTTATATAAGTTTGTGCTTGTTCTTGGATAGTTGGAGAAGATTGGTGATGTATTTGATTTGTTCTTCTTTGGAATCACCTGGCATGTTAGCTACGAGTGCTCCTATTTTAAAATCACCTGATTTGCTGACGAAGAAAGGATTGGTAGGTGTGTACTGCCTATTTCTTGTATAATAGCTTTGAACTGATATTATACAGCTCCCTAGTGGTGTATAGGTTGATGTTTTTTCCTCCTCTTTCTCAGACTCTGATATTATCTCCATTTCTAAGTGGTTAGGGACTTCTTCTTTTGTTAATATGGGCTCGTCCTTGGGGTCTTCTTTCATCTGTGAAGCTTCACTTTGTGTTGTTATAGCTGCAGTGTTGTTGGGTTCCATGTGTTCTTGTGGAGGATGCATATGGTTTTCAACATGTTGTTCTTTTTGTTGGCCAGGGGATTCTGCTGGTTTGATAATATTCAGTATTTGCTGAATCTGCTGTGGATTCTTTATTATGTATTTGTTCAGTATTTCAGCTTCGAGATTGTTGTGTTCCCAAATTTGGTCTATATATTTTTTGACAAGTGTCCATTTTACTGCTGTTGAAGTGTTGATATTGAGTAGTTTAGCTGCTACTGTGTCTAAGACTGTGATATTTATTATTGTCCCAAGTTCTGTGAGTTCTGAGGAGAAGTTGTTATAGCTGTCTTCAAGAAGTAATTTAATCCATTGCTGATCATGAGTATCATGATTATCATCCAATGTTCTTAAGTACTCAATAATCTGGTTTTCTATTGGTTGTTGGATATTTGTTTCTGATTGTATATCAGACGCATGTTGTTGATGTTGTTGATTCATGGATTCTGTATGTTACTTGATTGGGTGTTGATGCGTTTTGCTTATAATTTGATTAGGAAGGATCGAAAAGACACGTGTCTATTTCCAGTTTAGTTGTCGTCTGTTTGTTTATTTGTTGTTGTTTTTGGATATGGAATATAGTTAAACCTTAATTTTGACTTCTGTAAACTATACATGTGGTAGAAATTGGTAGATCCTTGACGCAATTGATGCAATTATTTGACACAATTAATTGAGTCACTATTAAAACATATAAAATAATTGAGTCAGACGCAATTATTTTTGAGGATTTTGGCAATTGAGTCAACAGCAAAATAATTTACACTACATGTATACTGTAAACAGACGTGTTTGTTTTCCTATTTTGAATGTGGGAAAATGCACTCACGTGTTCGTGTTACTGCTGATTTTTTGATGGGGTAAACTGGTTTTGGTTTTTTCCATTCCAGTGTAGATCACTCTGTGTAATGCTTGTTGTTTATATTGTAAAATTTTCTAGATCTATTGTTTTCTTCTAACTACAGTATTTGAGAAAGTCTTGGTACCCTTTTGGTTTTGTGTCAGTGGCAAGGTTGCCTGGTTTACCGAATGTGATCTGGCTGATACAAGGCCCTACTAGTGACTAAAGGAGATATCTAACCTGGTACACGACTGGCTGGTAGCTTGGGAAGTGCGGTGCTGACTTTCTCTTTAATTTAACTGTGAATTGTTTTCCTTGTTTTTCCTGTTTATTGTATCCTGCTTTGGTTTGGAAGAAATCAGTAGAATGTTTCTTCTTGATGAAAGTTTTCTTTGGGTGCTTCCTTTGGTGTTTCTTGGAGTTTTTTGTGTTTTTACCAAAAAAGGAAATTTTTAAGAATTTTAGGTTTTGCGGGAAAGAGTTTTTTTTTTTTTTTTTTTCTAATTGTGTTACAATTTAAGCACATTGAATTAAATTATTATATATTTGTATATCAATAGAAATATAAGTATTAATATTTTGTTGTGAATTCATTTTTTATTAAGAAAAAGTTTTTAATAAAAAAATGTTATTATTTATTTTATTAATGAGATAATTTAAGTGAATTAGCTTTATTGACTTTTAAAAAAAGTGGATTAAAAAAAAAAATCAAAATATTGTTGTATTTATATATTTTATAATTTATTTTTATTTATTGTTTTAAATTTAATTTCTTGTTAACTTTATTTAGTTAGAAATTTTTTTAATTTTAGATTTATTTATATCATTACCATATAAGTATAAATATTGTTTATAACATATCATTTATAAAAATTTTATTTATAAAAATTCTATTTATTTCTATATATTCTTATTATATATAGTAAATGATATATTTATAAGAATATTAATTATAAAAATATTATATAATAATTTTTTGTTAAAATACTTTTAATTAATAAAATTCTTTTATTTATAAATAAAAATATTATAGAAATTATGTAAATAATTAATAAATCATTTATAATTTTATAATATAAGATTTTTATTTTAATTATATTAAAGCAACAAAGATTCCACAAAATTTATTTAAATTGTCTTGACGATTTTGCGAAATTTGTTATGTGTCAATCACTATTGTTAATCATATAAATTATACATAATTCGGAAATTTCACTCGAATATATACCTGCACAGGTGCTGCACAGTCGCTGTATAAGTGCAGTAAGGATGCTGTACGAGTGACACATGAGGAGCATATTTCTGTACCCCAAAATAGTAAAAAAAACTCTGCTCGATATGAGTAATTCTTTTTGAAGGTGAACAGGAGTTTTCAAACCCCAGAATAATTACTTCAAAATTTATATTAATATATATATACAATATAAATTCCAAAAATAGATCTGACCCCTAAATTTATATTGTATATATTAATCAAAAATAATATATATGATATATATGGTACATCAGGAAATTTTTTGGTGGAGATCTCCAGAGATCTCCACCCATAAAAAAATTTTCGAAAATTTCCGGAAAAAACT